GTTTATTTCATTTCTTTAAGCATTGACCTTGAATTAAACCAAAAAAAAAAAATCTGGAATAAATTTGTAAAATAATGTCATTAAAAAAATCCCATTTAAAAACTGTTTTGAATGGTTTTTGTAGGAAAGGACAACAATAAGTCACAGTTACAAAGGGCTTTGCCTAATTTAGAGATCAGTGATTTATGATCACTTATTTTGTACATGTCCCCTGGGAATCTCCAGAAAACGCCACAAACTGGAATTACAGAACAAATGGACATATTTCTTTTAGGCACTGTCCTGAGCTGAGGTTTTAGAAGAATTCTGGGCCTTTCGTCAGTTTTCAAGAAGTCTGGCAAGATGTTGGGAATGACCACATTGCAGTTATCTGAAAGGAGGTAAGCAGAGGCAAGTAAGTGTGGCCAAGGCCAGATTTCCCCCAACCCCGGAGGGAACAGAGACCTCCCAGTGCACCTCCTGCTGTTTCTCATTGCCCACAAGTTTATTTTTAATTTCAAGATCCATTATTTTTAACTGTCACTGATTCTAATGTCAATCTGCATGCTTATTTAAAGTCCCCTCTGGGTCAGTGAAGCTAGCCAGTCATATTCGAGGAAGCTAAAAGAGAACACTTTCTGGCACCTTGAATTTCAGCAATTGCTGCATTTTCTCTATCAGCATTATTAATAGAGCTTGCTTATATATTAACTGTAGAAAAGGAAGGTTTCTATGACATTGCCATATCTGTATATAATGGACTTTGAGCATATCCTCTATTACTGGTTTTATTCTCCTAAAGAATGTTTTCCACATTTAAAGATTGCAGGGCTTGGTGTGGGTGTGATAGAGCAGGCTCATAGTCCCAGCACTCACTAGCCTGGACTACATGGCAAAACCTTGTCTAAAAAACAAAATACCAGTAACAACAAAAATATTAGAGAGCAGAAACAACTCCTCCTCCCCCTCCCCCTGCCCCCTCCCCCCTCCTCCATCTTCTTTTTATGAACAGGAGATTTAGTTTATTTACACTAGTAGCCATGGGGACTGAGGGAATACACAGCATTCATAATTAGCTACCTGTACAGAATGGATTATATATTCAAGACAACAAGACAGTGTGAGCCCCACCCCCTTTCCTAATGACCCAAATATGTAGTAATGCCAGGTGGGTGGCCCCTGGGCATGGGATGGGGGACAGGGATGCATGGAAAGAAAGGCAAATGGCCATGGAAATTAGTAGAGAAACTCCCCATTAGCCCACCCATGCATACTCAGGACACCTGATAAGGTACTGAGTGGGTAATGCCTAGCCAGGGTGGGAAGGGTGAAACTAGAACTCCTTCCTCTTTTTTCCTTACACAGGAGCCAGCTCCTTTCTTCTCTTGACACATGCTATAATTTTCTCCACATTTTTCCCATACCAACCTTCTTGAAGCAGAAAAGGAGTATTATGGGGTCCGCTCTGAGCTATGAAGGACACCGATGGGGTTGTTGCCCGTTTTATCATGAATGAGACTTATTTTCTTGTGGAGCTCCAGCCCTCCGTGGAGCAAGTGAGAAAGCTGCTGGACCGCTTGCCTATCTGGTCGGGGAAAGCATCCTGCACTCTGACCCAGTCCCTGGGCCTCCAATTATACATCCCTGAGGGTAACCACTGTCCCCTGAGGACTGAGATCACACCTATGTCTTTACAGTTGACTAAAGATTAGTTCAACTCCCTGCCTGCCTGCAACCCCAGGACCACAGTCCTTAGGGACAAGAGTGATCCTTAACTTCGAAGTGATCCATTTTCCTTCTTCTCAAAACCTAGCTCCCAAGTCAATGCTATCTGGCCTTTGGTTGGGGAAGATGAGGTTGCCCTGGGCGCCCTGTGCCTCAAACCGGGTCATGAGACCTCAGAAAGGCGGCAGGGGGCAGGGCTTCCAGGCGGAAAGGACCTCGAGGGTGGCAGAAAGGGGCGGGCGAGGGGCAGTCGGGCTCGGAAGGCTTCCGGTCCGGGTGCAGGCTTGGCAGAGGTCTGGGCAGCCCTTGGCGCGCGTCGGGAGCGGCTCCTCCAGGCTCCCGGCGGGTCAGGTGCGCCCGAGCGGCCGCGTGGGGACGGTCCCCGCGAGGGGGGCGCCGCCACCTCCATCCACCGCGGGCCAGTCAGGGAAGCGGAGCGGCTCGGCGGGGCTCGCGGACCCCGGGTCCCCAGGTGCGTGTCGGTCTGCAGTCTGGGGCGAGGCTGGGGACTGCAGCTTTCCTTTTCTTTTAACCGAAAGGGCAGCTTTGTCAAGTTTTTAAGTGTCATCACCTGCGCTGGCTCGGTTTACAGGCAGCCGTTCACCACACACTAAGCAAAAGTTGGAAAAACTGTCAACCTATTCCAACTTGACAAAGTACGTGACCGTCATATGGTCAGGAGGGAGCGCCGAGCTGTCTTCCTTGCCCTCCTGTTCCTTGCAAGCCTTTTCATTAATCGGAAAGCACAAAAAAGAATGCCACTCGTGCAGCCTGGGGCGCGGCAGACCGCCTGGTCCCCGGCTACACTAGCCTCGGGACCTGCCTTCCGGCGGCCGCCCTGCGACAGCCCATCCCTAGGGGTCCAGGACGCTCTCAGGCATTCAGTTGGGGGACGGGGGGGGCGTACTCCAGGAGGCTCCGTGGGGTGTCCCCGCGACGTGCAGGGGCCGGGTTCATGGGTGGAGCACGAAGGAAGACCACTGGCTTCGAAGACCGCGGAGCACTCGGCTCCCCAATTCCCTTTGCGAGACCTCCGGCCCCACAAGCTTAACACGGAGGTTCCAGACAGATGTCTTCCAAGCCTCGACTCTGGGCAGTGGCAGCTGGGGGGTTGGGCTGGAGGGTAACTTCTGTGACTTCCAAGTTTCTCTTCCTCATCTACCAGCTCAGTGTTTTGTCAGTCTCCCTCAGAGGGTATCAGTAGGCTATGAAACAGGGGTGGGGTGTCTGAGTGAAGACGAAAAATGTTAGAAGGTTGCCTTTTGTAGCACACAACTCCGAAGACACTCCAATCACAGACAGCTTTGTTTTTTATTTTTTTAACGAATTCTGAAAATAAAAGAAACTGTTGGCATGCATGACCACTCGGGAGACCAAACTTTCTGTTAAACTGCTTAGACACCTGGCTGCTTTTAGTAAAAACATCGTGGAATATCTTTTCATTTGTGGCGTCTCAAAACCTACCAGCCTTCCACAAAGCAAAGCTGTGTGTCCCTTCACTGGTTTCACAGGACCCTGGGCTCAGAGAGGGGCAGCTTGTTAGGGTGTGTGTGATTAGGGCGCCAGTAGTGGTTTTGCATATAACACACGGACATATCCCTCTTCTTTCTCTGGAGAGGAGACAGAAGGCCCCTCCAGAATTTGAATTTAGCTCTGGCCACTGTAAGGCTCCCAGGTGTGTGCGGTACTTCTGGATGTGCTGAACACAAGAGGTTAACTGTCCCCAGCCTGACAAGCAGGGCCCAGGCCTTCTGGTTTATGCTTTTGGCTCTGAAGTCTGGTAGCAGAGCTTGTTTCTAATCTCTGTGCTCATTTATCTCTTGGTTCTATAATATTTTCTTTGTTAACACAGATTTTACTGTTTGTCGAACATCATCAGTGTTTTCTATCTCTGTGACTGTCAAATACCACAGAGTGATTGCCTGGTTTGTTTCTTCATGGCTGTGACAAAACACTCTGACCACTACCAACTTGGGGAGGAAAGGGTTTATTCAGCTTACATATCCTGGGTCACAGTTCATCAGGGAGCCTAAGGTAGGAACTCAGGGAAGGAACCAGTAGCTGGAGCACAGGCCATGGAGAATCACTGCTTACTGGCTTGCTCCCTTGGCCACTGCTCAGCCTCCTTTCTTATACAACACAAGCCCACCTGCCCAGGGGTGGCACCACCCACAGTGTGCTGGGCCCTCCCACATCACTCACCAAGAAGATGCCCCTCAGACATGTCCTCAGGCCAGTCCAATAGAGGCAATTCCCCAACTGAGGCTCCCTCAACCCAGGTGTGTCAAGTTGACACTAAAGCTATCCAGCACAGTGATCCACTGTGTAATCAACACTTTGCTAATGATACTTCACTAATCTCCAATTCTATTTAATTCCACAAACTTCTGGTGGTTTGTAGTTTTTGTGAAGAAAAATTTGTTAAATATTTGGACAGGTTTTAATAACACATAAGGTGAGAAGTCTCTACCTGCTCCTGGTCCATTCCCCATGCCAGAGAAAACTACTGTAACCGTTTATGTAGGCCTGCCGTCCTTCCATGTATCTGGTAATTTAAGACTAACATATTTTTGAAATTTTTTTGCTGAGTATCTGCACACTGATGGCTTGAAAAGAAATCTACCACTCTAAACTTGCTATTTTACTTGCTAGCTTCCATTTTTTTCCTTTTTTAAAAATAATTTATTGAGAATTTCACACATGCATATAAGGTGTTTTGATCAAATCCATGCCCACTCCCTCCCCTCCAACTCCTCCCATATCTCCCCATCACTTTTTTCTGATAACTTTATGTAGTCCTTCTTTGATTGATTTATTTTATGGGGCTTTTGGCTACTCTTAACATTTGCCCCGTTCTGAAGAGGTAACCCTAAAATCTTTTAAGGATTAG